TGCCAAGCCGGCAGTGGATGATGCTGGATTGTGATGGGTGCCTCCTTCACTAGTTACTGAGTAGTTACACTCAGTAACTAGTGGTTGATGGCTTGTGGGCCAATGACGGGAGATTGGGGACGGCAATTCTGAGCAACGCCCATGTCAAATCTGTTCTGCCTGTCGGAATAGAGTTCCCACCCAGAATTAATACGGAGAACTCAATTCCGATATAGAGGCCCACGGGCCATGATCGTCACGACAAAGGGAGTTGAATCTCCGGTCGCATCGTGAATACAATCGATCTCCGATGAGTAGGCACGGACACTCAAACACAATAAAGACATTGCAAAGCAGCGACCAAGACATATCGATTCCAGCGTTCTATCTGGACTTCGTACATACATAGGCGCAAGAGAGAGGATGGAGATACGGACGCGCTCCGCGATAGTCATGTTGCACTAGCGCAGACATGCTAATAATTCTCGCGCATGTGCTAATCTTGAATTACTGATTCATGATCAGTGCAAGCTAATTCTGTGGGCTAGCTTTCTTTCCATCTATTGAGTGTTATCCCAAGTTCTCTCAGGGGGGGACAACATGTCGCGCCATCCAAGATCCCTGATCCCTCCAAACCTCGACGCCAGCAAGGCGCGATTGTGCAGTTTCGAGCTATGAATGTGCAGATCACAAGGTTCCCGAGCGCCATCGCAGGGAAGGTATAGTGCCACACGCCAGCACCTCCGTATACCCGTTGCCAGCCACACACACACACGCCTCCTAGCTCCGGTTTGACGTGTACGGATATTCAAAGTCCGTTTGCACAACTTTTATGCATATGTACTCCCCGCAGGAGATGGAGGGCAGAATACAGAATACGCGGATGTGTCAACGCCCGACCAACCTGTGTATGTACATGCGGGTGCGGTCCCAGACTCCCTAGTGCCATCGTCGAGTTACGTTACCACACACATGACTCTTGAGATGGAAGGGCTCACGTTCTCGTAAGAAGATCAGTACAAATAGCCTCAAAGTGAGACAGGAGACAAATTGGCACGGGCAGTTCAGGGTCCAGAAACATCAAGTTGACGCCTTTGTCTGTCGACTACTTGAACTGTTGACGGGTTCCTGGCGTACATAGATGCAATCAAGTGGGCGGGCAGCTCCGTCTCGGACGTGTTTCATTTGATGTTCCCCGCAAAGTTCACGAAGCCTCTAAGCGGAGACGCGGCAGGAGTTTTAGACGGTTCGTGGCATAATACCGAGGCAAGATCCCTTCGACAACGGTGATCGGGGAGAGGGGAAGTGAGACCAGCGTTCGCACAGTCGTGCGCTAGCGCACTGTTGCAACAAATAAACTGCGCGTCTGTGAGTCTGTGAGGCATCTGCAACGGTTTTTGACCTGTCAAAAGGCGACGATACATAGTGACCACGCTCGGGAATATACAGGGACAAGGCTAGCAGAAAATCGGCAGTTCCTTGTAGCTGACCCGCCAGTAACACTGACTTGACTCGTGTGCTCAAGTCGGGGCCAGCACACTAATCACTGTACCATCAGGACGAACTAGAAATAGCGCCTGGTGAAGAAATCGTCCCGAGATGCTCTTGATCAATCTCTGTGGTGTTCAGTTCACAGAAGGAGTTGTCTGTCGTGGCTACAATGCAAAGCGACAAAGGCGCCTAATAGGATCGCCCGGGCAACTACGCGCCCATGTACCGATGAAAGTAATATAACGATCGTATTATGATGCATTCCGTCCGTCCTTTTCAGTCGCTGCCAGTCGCCTCACTGGTTCTACGGTGCCATTAGCGTCTCGCGCTTGACCAAATCGGTGTAAGACAACTGACGGAATCGCATCCCGGGTGGGCAGCGAAGACAATGGGAGGAGGAGGAGCGGCGAGGTACAGACATGGTAGTTGCAGGTAGTTACATGAATCAGCCTTTTTGGACTATTGGCAGTGATTTGTCTTCATTTTTACCGCATTCGGATATGACCCGAGTACCATAGTGGCATCTCAGTGAACAAGACTATCAAGCCAGTTATAACCGATAATACAGCAACTAATACAGGGACATTAAGAGACCAAGTCGGCAAACATTATCCCAAGGCTTTCCAAACTAATAAAATGTTTCATTCATGTAGACACTACGGGAACCTTGAAGAGATCTGCAGCAGTCGGCGACTGATGCACCAGAATCATGTACCTGTTCGCAATACAAAACCGGATGTCTTGATCTGAGGAAAATGAATCAAGGTACTCCGTACATCGCTCTATTTCTGAATACCTCATCAACACCATGTTCTGGATATCCTCACACCTCCCCCGATGAAGCCTGCCGCCATGCTAAAAGTTGTTAGTTGGAAGAAGTGGAAGAAGTCATAGCGATACGCTACGTTCAAAGTTGGAAATTGCCCCGGCCCGGTCCCTTCATCGTCACGAACCATTCAATGCCGTCTACGGGGCCCCTTTGCGCATCACGAACGCAACAAGGGCTTGATCGTGAATGGACCGCTGGACCCTGACCGCCATGTGCTGACCCAGTCCGCTCTGGCCCTGTTGCAATGTCTCCGAGTTTGCACAGACAAGTCGCGGCATTAGCGCCGTTACTGTCTACTTGAACAATACGCTCAGTTGAAACATTTTGGGAGCTGGCGTCCAATCTGCAAGCCGTGTTTCATTCATCCCTTCCATACCCGTACCCTTTTTTTTTCTTGGCTTGCGAGGTTGAACTCTAAAAAATAAGTTGGAAACCTGACGAGTCAAAAAACTTCAGAGGTTGGGCGAGGTCTGTTCGTAAAACTCGTTGTTTCAACAATGGAGATATGTATATCCCCCCACTCACAACAGGCACTTGGCAAGATCGAGTTACGCCTGACTAGTTATGAACGCACTTCCCCGCAAGGCACGGATCAGTTTGGCGAAAGCATCGCGAACCATGACAAGCTCGGGCCATATCCTGCCGCATTCGCAGATGGTGTTGGCGCAGTAAAAGACGGGCGCAGAAAACACATTACCAACCCCAAGAACAGCACTTTTCATGGTTTCAGACGGGAAACACTGCCCCGAGATGTTAATGGTCAGAAGCAGGGTGTGGGTTTGTTGGTCCACCCTGCTTTATCAGACAATAGCCGTCGTCCAAGGTGAGCGCTATATCAGGACAAGCGCGTTCTGGTATTTACAACCGAGTATTGAATTGTTGTGAAAGGAGGAATCAATCTTCTCAATGTAGCTAGGCGTCTCTCTCTAATAAAGTGCGATATCAGCCGCCTCTTCAGCTGCTGTACAACCCCCACTAGCTAGTTACTGTGTCTGCTCAGCTGCTGAATCTACAGGGCCTGTGGCAATCAGCCTCTCCCTCGTACAGTACATACATACCAAGTTAAAACATGGCCATTTTCCCCCTCTTCTGAAACAACGGAGGCCTACTCACATCATGACGAAGTGCTTCATAACTCCGATACACGATGCAGGGGGGCGCACAGTGAGCTTAAAGAGGATTAACACGGAATGCACAAGTATCTGAGACTTCCCTGCTGCATGGTTAGTTTACTTGTACGGATACCAAGGACTGTGCTCAGTCGATCTTTGTCTTGTACCTCTTTCGCTAGATGTCTTCTACCCTCTTGCTGGCGTCTTCTAGCACGATTGGCTAGCCACGCCACACAACCATGCCTTTCGACGAGAAAAAAAAACACCTGATACAAGACGCCTACGCCACAAAAGCAGCCATCCAGACCAGACCCCTGGCGGCCAGCGCTCCATCATGTCCGCTAGCACGAGTGGGCGGTTTGACGTTTTCTTGAGGCTTGGTACTGGGTACAAACTAGGCAATAAACAACTAGTCTGCTGGTAACTATTAGTACCACTCCCCGCTGCTGCGTTACATGACAATCAATGGTGCGCTTGCTACGGAGTACACTCCGTAGTTTGTCGATGAGTTGTTGCGAGATAAACAATGACTGGCAAGGGCGGCTGAGGTGGACTTGTCGTTGAGTGGCCGGGATCCCGAATCCCCAACTCCACGGAAGACTCGGGCCTGTCTGTCATTGTTATCAAGCCACAGTGGATGAAGAATAGTTAGGCAGGCTGGGCTCTGGTCTGTAGGCCCGGGCCACGCCGACAGATTCCCGTGATGCATGTCCACACAGACCAAAACACATGAAGATATGCCTGTGCGGGCAGCGATCAAGGGTAGATGCCGGATATAGAAACGGGACACCAGGAGGACACGTCTGAAGCAAGCCACTTGTACTGCAATTTTGATTACCACTGTCGTTAAGCGAGTCAGTACATAGTAGCAGTTGTTGGTGTGCCGATGTAGACTGAATGCGTTGGACATAACTATTGCTACACCCGCTGGTCTACAGTATCGGGAGACGCCGATAACGACTCGAATGGCAATTAGATGAATGATTTTTAGTTAGCCTATTGGCATCTATACCCGCAATTAGAGTACATAATTATGCTTCTAGCTTGTAAGCGGTGCTGACGCCTGGAGCTCTGGTACAGAATCAGGACCCTCTGATATGTTCGTACACACTGTATGTAGCCTGATAACATTATCAAGCTCCCTAAATTAATGGCCACGCTACGATGTACTACCAGCTATGAAACAACAAGCTACGAAACGTCATTGTAACTTATTGTTCACACAACAGGCAAAATTATTCCGAAAACAGCGTCATCATATGCTGAAAGGAAGCTCCAGTATCCATAATCACTTACATACAGAACGAGACACCCAAGTGGGCCGATTTGGAGCATTTTAAGCACCCTGCTGAGCGCGGCTAAGCTTACTGATTGACATATCTCGGTCCAGGTTCGTGTTCGTTTCATGCACGAGCCTGACTCTTTCACCAAATTCGTTATCCTAAATTGGCTGCGAGGGAAGGTGATTTTTTTTTTCGTACAGAGAGGAAGTCGCTTAAAAAAAAAAAAAAAAAAAAAAAAAGGAACACCAAGTCGCGCATTTATTACCATGTCATGGCGGCCCGGGGCAGCTACTGGTTAGAGACTATTTACTCGGCATACCGCATTTCTCGACAAAATTGGTTCATAGCGAGATGGATATCATATAGCAACGTTTGGTACATATACTTGAGCGGATGAGCAAGATGCGCCGAACCCATCGCTCGATCTTTTTGGCCCATCGACAACGAAACGTTGCAAGACTGTGGACATTGTTTGCTCGTGGGAGATGAACCAAGACCCCATTGACAGGGCTTGCCATCGATTCCTGAGCTCTGGTGATGACTCGACGAGCCCAAATGGGCGCCGCAAGTGGGAACTGGGTTGTGGAAACGTGGCTGGCCACCGCGAGGCTCCAATCTGGCAGAAATTGTGGTGACAGATGACCAGGGCTCGGGGGGAGACCGGCCTTTGAGGACCGAGTCGATCCCCCGTATCTGCGAGCCGGGCATTGTTATAACTACTTGGTACTGGTATTAATCTGTTCACAGGGAATCAATGATGATGAGGAGCTTCACCATTGACTCGCGCAAATGGCTCTGGCCCACAGTATCTGGACAACGGATCCATGCACGCATCGTAATTCGTATTAGCTTACGGAGTACCGGAGTGCATAACACGATTCTGCAGGGTTAGGTAGCCGCAAAGAGGGGAAGGGAACAGTCTTTATCCAGCATCAGTGAGTCTCGCTCAACTGGCGACACGGCGCCAGTCTCTCCCAGTCAAAGATCATCATACAGGCAAGAGGATGACGGCGTTGCATGAACAAAAAGGTCCAGGGAAACTTGTTCAAACTAGCCAAAGACAGCATGGGGGCGTCAGGATAGCAAGGCTCCTAATTGGGTTGTGGCTGAAGTGGCCTGATTGTGCAGTGGGCATAGGGCATAACAGCAAGGCCGACCAGGGGGCCTCAGACAGCAGCGAACATGGGTGCAAGGTTATCTGTCTTGACGAGAAAACGGGCAAACAAGCAACTAATAACTACAAAGTACTCATCAACTATCCAAGGCGATCAGAACTTGATATTATAGCAGTAAAAGACAAGGTCTCAACAAGCTCATTAGAACATACGGTCAGAATTAGCGAAATCACGGCTGACAATAGCGTAATATCTATTTATATTAAAGATCTGCCTATATAGTGAGGGGTCAGGCACCTAACACCTACTAAGCATACAGCATGGTGGTGGTATATCATGGCCTTGCGAGGGGGGCAATAGAACACCCATTGCGGCCTGCGAGTACCAATGCCGGCGTCAATTGTCATGCAATATAATCGACCAAAAAGTCATGATGCGGTAGTTGAGAGCCAATAACAAAGCTGCTATATTCACCAGTGACATCCCAATGCCCTCAATGCCGCAAAATAGCGCCGAAAGCCAGGAAGCGATGCACAGCAGAGCGACCTCGCGTAGACGATGCCACTACATATCAAGATGCACGGAGCGGAAGCGAGTCAAGACGATCTATCCGCGTCGTACAGATTAGTTAGTTGAGCGAAATACAACGGTACATGCAGGTCATGACAGTTCCAACTGCATGAATCCTTGCTTCTGGCTCCACAAGGCTCTCCATTGTTCAACTTATCAGAGGCTTGTCGATATCGATGAAGATATTTTCTTGGCCTCGAGGGGTTTCTGTGCGCACGAGGCTTGGCTCGACGAATACTCTCCATCACTGCACAATTATTCAATAAATCGGTGAGTGGCCGAGCCTTGTTCACGAGATTGCCACGAGGTGACGTTGAGCCAAGTGTGGTCCCAGATGCCTGTTCCCAGGCGAAAAGGCCTCATAATTGGAACACGGGAAGGATCAAGGTCCCGTTGGTGGTGGATAGTTAGGGCCGGCCACGATTATCCGTCACCATCGCCCCCGGACTGAGCTATTTCTAAATGAAAGCGTGTAATATACTGACTCTGTAACTATTAGTTGACAACGGGACTGGAGGTTCCCGCATGATATTGACAAGGACATGTTATAAGTCCTGCGCTGCTGTGTACGGAGTAAAATAGGCGTCTATTGGTCGACAAAGCGGGTGGTTTTTTTTTCTTTTTTCGCATCCCAGCCGAGAGAAGGAGCTGCTGCGATGTCGACTTGATCAGGGCTACGCGAGAAACGCGTGAACCGCCCGTGCTGTACATATGCGCGACACTTGTCAAACCCACGAGCGCCTTGTCAAGCCACAAGAACAGAAACATACACCTTCTCGACAGCGTTAGGGCGGCACGAGCAAATGTTGGGAAACACATGGCGTTCATCCCGTAACTACCTGTTGATCCGGATGAATCTTGTTTCGCCATTGAAAATCCGCGCGTGTCTCGCTCACTGGCTACTGCCGAGGCTCCCATCACCACCACCACCACCCCGCCCTAGATTTTGAGTTTCTTGATGGGCGTGGCTTGTTATGTTGGACAGTTTATGCGTGGCCGGGTGGTCCACCTCTTGCATGAACCAAGCAGAACTCGCCGCCGCCTGTTTTGCCATTGGGCAGCGCAGAGAGGTCACTTGACGGCGATTCCCCCGCGGTGCCGGTCCATACTGTACAATACGGCAACTAACTACATAGTAACTTTACACCTTTTCCTCCTGGCTAGTTAGGACGGGGGCCTATCATTGGACAAGTGCCGATTGTCCCATTTTCATGCGCTTGCCCCTGTCTTGGCTCCGACCGCCACCACACACTCAACAGCGAGCTCTAAGCTGCTCGGTAGTCGGCCAGCAACGCCGCCACCCCTGTCTGCGAGATTGAACAAGCTGCCCCCCAACGTTAAATAGTTGGTTTGTGAGTTGGGCTGGCTACCAAAAGGCAAAAGCACGAGAGGTGGCTGCCCCGCGATTGGCCAGACCCCCCCCCCAGGACCGGGACTCTTTCGGGTCTAGCAAGGCACACTTGGGTCGCTCGCGTTGTCGTTTCCACGCCTCTCGACATCGACCCGGCCCCCGTTTTATTCCATGGAGGTCTCTTCTCACCAATGAGCCAGAGCCGTTCTAGCGCATGACTGTTTTCTGTTGCTGAGACACGTCTGTCTTTCCTCCAGTATCGTGAGAAGCACTAAGCACGGTAATACCACCTGATGGTTCATCCTGCCTTTTCTTTCACACACATACCAATACTACAATCGGTACGATGATGCAAACTTTACAATCACAGATAGCAAGAGGAGTGGCTAGCCAGGACGCGATTAAACTTTCACCCGAAGATTCTCGCAAATGAACAAGTGAGACAGACCACAAGGTTTCGTCTCATTAAAAGTCAACCCGGTGACCGCTGTACGGGTTTCGCCTATAAACCCAGTTTACGCCCCTAGTCAAGCCATTGTCGTGCCCGACTCGTCGATGGTCGCTGCTGTTGGCCCAATAATGATACAGCCGACATGGTTGTCTGAACTCTGGGGTACAACCTTTTGGCGCGCTCCAGGCCAAAAAAAAGTTAGACGCCTTTGTTGGCAGAGAAGACTAATAACGTTCAAACTACCACGAAGCGATTAGCCTGGATTCCACATTGGATCCAGTAATCACACCACAAGCTCTCTCCACGCTCCAGCTAGTTACTGACTGATGCCAGAACGGCTTTACAAGGTAGCCAATCTAGCGCCGTATCCCGGCAAACTCTATTTTGGGCCGCTCCGTAACAAATACTAGCCGCAATTTCCAAGGAACAGAAGCTGGTCACGGTTCCGAATGACCAAGATGGCGGGTAGACAGGCAGCGCCCAGCCAGCACTTGTGCTGCTGGCCCCTTTCTCATGGTAACAGAAGAATCCGGGATGGCGGCAATTTGACGATGACGATGCCGCTACTTCCCAACCGTTGGACTTGTACTTTGTTATCAGCTATGGATCTGTGTTGCATTATACATGATACATACGACAAAGGACATGCATGTAGCCGGCCGAGTATCCGTACCTCGATGCAACTGTGAAGTGGCCCTTTGAAATCGAACATGTCCTGCTGGCTCACTGGTGCCCGCAAAGCTCTATCCAGCATAGCGCAGCCACATCCAGTCCTAGCGACCAAATCAGTGGCGACTACCGATGCCATCCCTGGCAACTCCATAGTCTAGCTTCCAGCAAGTGGCCACGGTCCACGGCAAGTACATAGTGACGAGGGCTGTTGGCTCCTATCTACAGAACCACGCGCAACACACATGTCGGATGTCGGGTGTACAGGCTTGGCTTATCTGTCCGACTCTTCATGGAACTCGCTGCCGGTTCGGCTGTGCGCTGCGACTGCCCCCCCAAAGACCACAAAAAAACAAAAAAGTCGTTGACCGCTAGAGGTTTTGCTAAAGCCGCACGTCCAACCTGATACCATGCCTGGCAGGATCAGCGAGTTGATTTACCAGATTGGCACAACCATCGAAATCGTGCGCTGGATCGAGGTGGCAAGCCCGCATGTGCGTGACAACTGACAAGCGCGTATTTGGGCTACCGCACATCTCAATGGGGAATAAACGGTTTGAAGATGTTGCACGGGGATCGACAAGAAAAATATAACCGAGAGCCTGACTTTGAGACAATTGTGCATGTAATGTAGCGTATCCTGGGGTTGTCTTCGTATTCAAACAACCCCGGGTTCGTCTTGAGCAACAACAGCATCACCAACTCGAGGCCTCTCACAACGCAGAGGGCGCGCGGCGAATGCAGCCACCGACGCGGGCTCAAAGGCTCTTATATGAATTGTCTGCAGGTCGCTTGGGAGCTCTGCATTCAAAGTGAGGGGTCTTCACACCACCTCTGAGAGACTTCCCGGTTCCCGCGATTTGGGAGGCCCAGTTAAAGAGGCAAGTAGTAGCTAGCGCCGGTAGATGGACGGCCCACAGCAGAGATGGTGTGCAGAAACACAAAAAAACGGTCTGCGGGACAATCAAACAGTAGACAACTCTCACGGGAGGCAGAGAGCATGCAGAGCATGACTCTTGAATCTCCACAACGCCTTCATGCTGGCGTTGGCTGGTTGGTTGGTTGGCTAGTGTAAAAGATTGAGTTTGATGATGCCTACGGCACCCTCAATGCGACAGGGAACAGCGTTCATTCATCGTCGACACACAAATTTCGGATAGAGGAAGGGGGGGGGGAGGCCATCGGTCATGGCTACGTTGCAGGTCGCTCGCCAGGATGAAAGAGGGCAGACTGTCTGTCGGGCTAGTACCGTACAAGGTAATAGTTGTTGGAAGATGGCTGCAACAGACACGTACAACGAGGTCGCTTAAGTTGCCGACCACAATCTAGAACAAGCCACTCGTTGTCACGGATATGCATCTCGCCGGCTCTAGCCCTGCCGTGTTGTGCCCTCTGGACCAATGCCGGGCCGACACTAGGTCTGCAGTCTGCAGATGATTGCACGATGGCCTCGCAGAGGAAATCGGGGCCGGATTGGCTGGCGATTTGCGCCCCTGCCAAGAAGAACATGTGCTATTTCTGTAGTATAATAACTAGAGAGAAAGAAAAAATAAGAGTATTGCAAATAAACCAAAAAAGTAAAATTCTCCGGAGAACGGCTACCGTTCAGCAGTAGTTACCATGACGGGCTGAAAAAAGGAAATTTGCTTCGAGTTGAGCCAATGGACTTGCCAGGCTGCACGCCAAAACTCTGTTTTTTTCTTCCTTCTCTTCTTTCCTTGTTCGGCAATCTTGTTTCATATTGTTGAGCTCCCAGTACGGGACAGAAAATCCACATGGTGCTCTTTCAGTTTCATGCGAGCGGTGCCAATGCAAGCCCGGAGGTTATCAGGGCCTCTGCATTACGATGACTAGTTTTTTGTTTCTTTCTTGTCCCTTCTTCAGCCGATATTGTTTCCGGCCTGTCTAAAAAAAGAACCTCAAACATGGTATGCAGAAGGGCAGATTGGAAGGAGGGCGCCGGGGGGGGGGGGGGAGGGGATCCTCGGCAAGTTTTTGACAGACGAACTATTTGGGCAGGGGGGCACAGACGATTCGGAGCCTTATCAATTACAGAGTGGCATGACTGACTGCTCATCCCATTTTTCATCTTATTGCCAGAAGAAGATTTGAAACTAAGAGCGGTAACTAACCCCCCCCCTCTCCCCCTCTTGCGGTTCGGTTTCAGGTTGACCAAATTCTTTTTTTATACCACGGCCAAGAAAGCCAAAGCAAGATGCATGGGGAAAACATGGCATCATCATCATCATTGCAGATATCGCAGATGAGAAAATAAATGGCATTCTTTTTTTTTCTTCTTTTTTTTTTGCTTTTTTGTTCTCAAGATTCTTTTCACTAACAGTTGACCGCCACCGACTTTCAGAGCCCACATGTACGTACCATACATTGAAATTGCGGAGAGCAATGATGCCATGTACATGCAGAGGAGGCTCATATCAGCACATACATGCTGCACGGCTACGTATTCGAAAGCGAGGTTGAACTGTATTCCTGCCCGCGAGATCTGCATTCAACGTTTTTTTCGCCATTTTTCTTGCCTTGTTCTTTTTCATCTAGCACAAGTGGACATCCAGCTCAGCTCAACCAACTTTATTTCGGCCGAGCTCGACGTCATGTTTGAACCAAAAAACCTGGAGACTTTCTCCCACCAGGCTGAGCCACATTCCCCACCAGTTGCCGTTGATGTTCCTGATTTGGCATTGTCAAGAAAAAAAAAAAAGTCAAACTTGCTTCTTGACTAGTTGCGAAGAAAAAAAGGAAAAAAAGAAAAAGACAGCAAAACTGGGGCTGAGAGGGGAACCCAACATGGAACCATAACCCAGAACCCATAACTAACCAAACCCTGAACATGCCCTGAGCGGTTCTCTTGCAGAAATGACTAAGAAATCGCTTCAACGATGGTTACGAGGTACATGTATTATGAAATAACAAATACAATCAGATATAATTCGTACGCCGCTGCATCATCACCACGCAGGTGTCGTTACACCGGGGGGGGGGGGGGGGAGAGGGTCCCTTGTCGTTCCCCACGACAAGACCAGGGGACGCTGATCTGCCAGGATCGCAGCGCTGTTCCGTTCTTTTCGCAGGTCGCCGCAAGCTCTGTTCGCCGACAAACCAAGGACGGTCAATGAAAAAGCGCAGCCAATGCCGCCGCGATGCCGACGCCGGCCGCCGCCCGGCCGCCGTCCGTCCCCCCCTACCACCTGTTAATACACTCCTGATCGTCATATGATTGACGTCTAGTCCCTTTTCCGAGTTTGTGATTTGTGCCCTGGCTTCTCCTTTTCCAAGGGCCCTTGTGGCAGAAAAAATAATCCTGCAGCAAGCCCGCATGACGTGGAGAAGGCGTGCTGCCGGCAGTCTGCCCTCCTCGCGGCCGGCCTGAGACAGGCAGGGCAGGCAAGGCAAGGCAGGTCTCCTCCGCCTCCGCCCAAACGTGGTTTTCCGGACTCAAGTTCCCCCTCCAGTGAGTTGCTGGCAGTGAGGAGTTGCAAGTTTGCGCCTCGTTCGGTTTCCTCGTTCCCTTCTGCCGGCCGGCCGGCGGCAGCACCCTCGCCCTTTCCCCGCCCTCCTCTTTTTTTTTCGTGGCTTGCAGGTTTTCCATGTCTCGGCCTTGTGGCTAGAAAGACATTACCTGTTGCCCAGTTCCCGACCCCGATTCGTGAAAAGGCGCCAGGATTTTTCGCTAGCCTTGGTGGTTCCGCTGCTTCGCCCATCTGCCGGGGGGGGGGGGGGAGGAGAGCCTCTTTCTTCCTTCCCCTCTCCCTGTTGGGGCATGAATCGCGCCCGCAGATGAACCAAAAGGGAACAAGAAAATACGCCCAAAATGCGCTTCGTGTCGGCCGTCCCTCACTTCATCCAACCAATTCTTTCTTCGCGCGGTCCGGCTTTGAACCAGGCGGATACGCACGTGGGACCCAGCATACAAAGTTTTGACTAGGCGGCGCGGACAATTTGTGATTCATGCGCAACGAGAAAAAAATAAGTTGCTTTGTGTGAAAGTGGCTTCATTTTACTGCTGGAGAAACGCCTCGTTGCTCAAAGTTCAGCCCAAAGCCTCTTTTTCTTCTTCAATGCCCACCGGCCCAGCCCAGTTTCCTTGGTGTTCCGAGGCGGCGGCGGGGGAATTGGAGTTGATGGAGTAAAATATCCAACTTTTTTTTACAGACGGCTTCAACGGTAGCAGCTGAAGCGAAATTATTCGGCCGACAAGATGGGTATTAGAGTGTATGTAGGTTAGAAAGAGAGTTTTTTTGGTTACGGACGGGTTCCGTCATCGTCTCCTCTTGTTATGCTGCGACTTGGCAAGACGGTGCTGCCGTCATCAGCCGAAGCCCAACAGTCCATCACAGCTAATTCATAGTACAGCAATACAAGACCAGGGTGATGGTTCTTCCAGACATGGAGTATCCCAGTAGCTTGGTTCCAATGTAGCTGAGACATGACATTCAGCACATACTTTTAGGGTTACTGGTCATCAGCAATCACAGCCTTGGGATTTGGCGACGCTATGATATGTTTCAACAACAAACGGGCTCAAGGCGCGTGCGCAGGCGAGGCTCTCGCACCGTGCCGAGCAACTTGTTCTACATGCAGCTTCTCACATGCAGATGCTACATGATACGGATAGATGGCCAAAAAAAGAATTCGAGATGACGGGCTTGTTGGATTGTCGACATCATAGGGAGCGTGCGCCGTGTTACAGGTTGACCAAAATCTGAAGGCGGGAGCGGCGCTGGCCTAAAAACAAAAAACCCACCGGCTTGGTGGACGAGTCAGTGACGGACATGAGGCCCAGAAACATTGGCGGGCGAATAACGGCGGACCATGTATACATACGGATAGCCAAGTCAAGGAGAATACATTTTATTTCTCGCAACCCCATGGACCCAAACTCTAGTCCGTGACTGGTGCTGTCCATGTCTTGGTGCTCAGCCTGCCACGAGGCTGAGCAAGGGGCATGGTGCGAACAGACCTCAGCCATCTGGGTTCAGGACAATTTCAGGGACGAGTAAAAGAAGACGAAAAGAAGGAACCAAGACGCGCTATAAAAAAGGTGCCCTTTTTTTTTTTGGTAGTACCGCACCAGTAACACCACTGTAACCAGCAGTAGCCCACCGTTCAAGGCCCGCCCCCTGGCACTGTCGCACGGCCATGGGCCGAGAGGGGCTGTGATGTACGGTGCCTGTCGTGTCGAAAAAAAAAAGAAAAAAAAGAAAGAAAAGGACAAGGCCGGAATGGAGATTAATTGAAACGACAAGGCAGGAAGAATACGATCGCCGGAAAGATTTCCAGGGCTCCCCCTCCTCCGATAAATTTGATCGGGGGGGGGCCTGCGATAGATAGAGCCCCAGCGCACAAACCACTCTGCGAACCTGTAAACCCCAACTAACGCGGTAGAACTGAAGAAGCGAACAAGGCTGTCTGTTTATTAAAGAGGCGTTGTTTTAGTGTAGAACAACTTTACCCCGAACATTTGGATAACACGCATATACGGCTGGTTGTCAAATTATGGAGTTGCATCACTGCCAGTTCTTGCATCCACCATCGAACCACGGCCAAGATTTGGACAAGACCACCTTGAACCTGAGCCCGATACAAACGGACTCGCACGGATCGATCAACCAAGAAAGCGCATCCCCGCAGGATGCACAACCATGAGCATTCCGATAGAAAATCGGCCTGAAGTAGACACCAGAGCGAGAGCAGCAGTGATGCCATTCTCTCATTTCGGGCCGTAGTGCGCTTTGGCGCCTGGGCAAGCAGTAGGTAGAGTGGGTGCCCGACTGCGCTGCACGAGCTTATTCCATTGTGTCCATTGTGTTCATTGTTGTC